GAACCCCCGGGGAATGGCGTGTGGCACTCGGCATCCTGCGTGTTCCCTGGGGTCTGAGGATGTACCTGCGCCGGGGTACCTCCCCCGCGTAAAGCTGCAGAGCTGACCGTGAGCAGGTGCCTGGCGCGTTGGATCGGCCGGTGGGCGCCGCGCGGAGACGCAGGCCTGCTGCTTGCCATTAACCAACCCCCCTGCCATGGCCAGAGCTTGGCTGCTGGCCGCCCCTGTGCCGCGCAGGGGTTGGCTTCGCTGGCTTGTGGCCGTTCGTACGTGGAGAACCGTAGCCGAAGACCTTTACGCTTGGAGCTTGTTCTCAGGCTGCGTGGTAGGTTGTAGCGAAGAGCACGATGAGTGCGGTTAGGTGGATTTTAGCTGCTCTGGTTTGGGCTCTGCACAGAACTGGCTGAGGAGCATTTACCCTGTTGTGTCTGTTGGGCTCTTGGGTAGAGGTTGGAATTGGTTAAAGTGGACACAAACTTTACACTGTAATGTCTTTACCTAATAAGCCTGTTTTCAGCAAGATTTTTCTTTAAAGGAAAGTTTAAAAAGTGGGTAACCAATTCATTTCCTCTGTGATGCTTGTAGGAATGTCGTTCATTTGTTTTTTTTAAGAACAGTTTAATGAAGATAGTTCCCTATGCTTGTTTTCTCAGTCTCTTGAAGGGACATAACCCACTGACGCTGGAAAAAAGTGTTTTCTGCTCCTCTTTCATTGAAAAGTCACTGTTACGTGCCTGTACTACCTTAACCTGCACAATGGCACGATAATACTGGTCAGTCTTAGCTGTGATTTTTCAACATGCATTTCCTTCGGTATTAATTTAGCAGAGTTATTCTAAAAGCATGCAAATAGCCCTACAGTGAAAGGGAAAAGGGATTTAGGGATGGGGGTGTGACAGACACTGACTGTCTTCAAGCTAAGTCTGCTTTTAAAAAAAGAAGAGAGGAAAGCTTAGAAGTGCTAGCTCTCCTGGTGGGGACGATGTTTTCTTGTGGACTCCGTGTGAGTCGCCGTGCCCTGATCCTGCCGTGGGGCTGGGTGAGTTGTGCCGCAGCGGCGTTACACAAGCCGCCGACGCTGTGACAAACCATCGTGTCTTCCAAGTGTTCACAGAACGGGTTTACCTCTCCTGGCGACGGAGGTTTAAGCAGCAGAACTGTCTCGGGCTAAGGAGAGCCCTTGCAAAGGCGGAGGAGGGTATCGTAGGCTTCACCTTTCTAGGCAGTGCTCTAAGACTTGTGCACGGATCTCCGTTAGGATTGTGATTTTCTGCTATCTAAGGCTAATATCAACTGCCATGTTCTATTCAGAGGATGATGGATAAGCGTGCTGTTAAAATGGTCTTGTAAGGGCTTAAAATTCCCCTTCCGTCGGCTAATTATGAATTTTCCACTCTAGCTTCATTTTTGTGCTGTAATTCCCCTGCTCCTCTATCTCCAGTGTCCAAAGTTGATGTGTTATTGACTGACCTGGTCGTACAGCTGCTGTCCAACTTGCGAAGTTTAACGTGAAGGATTTGCTGGTTTTTAAAACATCTGTCTGCAAAACGACACTCCAGATCGTTCCCGTATGCTTTGAAACAGCGTAACAGTAACCTAATACTGCGTTCTCATCCGTTGGCGAAGGCGCATCTTGCGTGTGCTTAGGAGCACGCTCACTTCAAAGTCCGTGGTCAGAGAGGGTAACCACCCCTTAGTTAGCGCTGCAGAAACGAAGCCTCGCGCTCTTGGTGTGGACACACTGCGTGCTGTCAGCCAGCAAGCCGCTGTGCCTGTGTGTGTGTTTAACAGAACAGCGAAACCCTGCGCTCGTGAGCTCCCGGAAACAGGACGTCCCTCCTAAAACCGCGTCGCCGACGGAAGTTGCGAAACTCTTCGCAGTTCATCTCTCTCCGGCTTAGAGAAAGCAGGACACATCTCTATCAGGTAACTTTTTTATTTCAGGGCTAGATCGACTTCCTCCCCTTGCTTGAGCAGGCTGCCCACATCTTTAAATACCTGCCTGCACCTGATACGTGCTGAGCAGCCTTCTGCAGCCAAGCTACCTTATCCTACAGTCAGGGGGTTTATTTTGGGTGGCGAGGGGGAGTCTGCATCTTAGAAACTTCCTGTAAAACAAAATTATTGTTTTTACAGGGAACCCTTCTGAGATTTTTCTCTCTCTGTCCCAAATTAATTGTGCTGTAGGGGTTAATAATGGGACTTGATAAGGAATTTGGGGTACGTGGTGCTGAGGGAGGCGAAGGTGGTGCGCAAAGGTGCAGAATGAATGGCACAACTGCATGTAGCATGGGAGAATTTTTGAAGCTGACCTTGGAAGATTTTATTTAAACTATTTGAGGTTTCTAGTTTTTTCAACACCTGTCTGTAAATGCCATAAATGAGTTCTACCCCTTTTGAGTGAAAAAGTGGGAATTCTTGCCTGATGACTCAAAGAGTTAAACAAAGGGGAGCAGATACAGAGCACAGGAAAGTCTTGTCATAAGTTGCTTTTCAGGTTACAACGTTTACTCATTCTTGATTGGCAATAAGGAACTGAATTAAAATGAGCTTATACGTGTATCACTGACAAGCTGAAAACCGATATTCGGTGTGTGCAAACAGCAGCCTTGGAACAGGAAAGCTCTGGTTCAGTCCAGCAGAGGGAGGGAAACATGGGTTAACCCTGAGTGTCTTCTAGATAACACAATTGCGTGTTCCAGTGCTACTGTCAAGGTGTATCAGGATTTTAAGGTTCTGGCTGTCACTTGTCAGGTGACACAGGGTGCAGCTGTAGCAGGGCTAAGTACAGGTTTCTGACCTTTGTTTCCAGCTACTTCACTGATGTAAAAGCTAAGAGGTGACCGTGGATAGACGACTGAGTGTTTTGGGAATGCTCACAGATCCCAGATCTAGAAAGGTGTAAACTCTCGTTTCGTTGGACTTTGTTTTCCCATCAAGCTTAGGGCTCACTACTCCTGCAAGAGTAGACTGATAGACACACCCTTGCCCGAGGTGCCGTAGAACTTGGCACGCTTACCCTCTTGGCTCGCACCCTGAGAGGCAGCGGGACGGGCTGCGTCCGATGCGTGCACGTACTGGTACACCCTGACATCGGAATACAAATGCAGTGCTTGGATTGGCAGACACGTTACCGTTAGCGGAATGGCGCTCGTTAGGGTCACACAGCTGCCTTGTTCAGTATTTCCGTGATCTACAACACTTAGCAAATTCTTGTCCCGTTTGGTGGCACTCCTCTCTTCAGGACTGTAATGCTACATCTGTTAATTAACGCTTCGCCTGTGCTGTAGGATCAGATACACTTTCCGCCACGATAACCAGAAAACATTCTTTCGGTTTGTTACTCATTTGCTTGCATGAAACTGCAGTTTCCCAGCAGAGGCCATGATTGACCTATTGGTTTTTTGCCTTTTTTCTTCCTCAAACTGATTACAGTCCATTTGCAAATTAGTGCTTTAGCTGCAACAAAGGTTCAGTATTCTAATTCTTGCCTTGAGGAGCTCATCCAGGTGCATAAATCAAGATAAATTCTACCCTCTGTAGAAGGTAGAATTTCTGTGTTCTGTAATTGTTACTGGTGCCTTTCCTTATCTTGTAGCTTCCCACGTACTGAAGGATGTCAGCAATCGGAGTAGTGTCCTCCTGTTCCTGTCTCTGTCCTGGTGTGTGGCTGCTGAAACCAGGCATGCAGAAGTTGAGCTCTGTCGCCTTACACACGGCAGCCAGGTGTGCTGCCAAGGATTATTATGAAGTCCTTGTGTTGGGTGGAGGCGCTGGTGGAATCACCATGAGTGCTCGGATGAAGAGGAAAGTGGGGGCAGGAAACGTGGCTGTTGTTGAGCCGAGTCAGGTAAGTCTCCGGCAGCTGTCAAGCATTGAAAAGGGTAAGCGTTTCACATATGTAACCAGGTTGGTCTGATGCTCATCCCTCTCCACCCCCACGTGTTTTTAACTGTGGAGAGGAAGCCACCTTTTACAAGGCTTTGCATCAAATTTGTTGCTCCATGACTGAGACGCACGCATCCCTCCAGCTTTGTCGTGCAGAACTCTTGGTGACCTGCACAGCTCCTTTCCTTAAGAACAATACCACGTTAAGAACACACTGTTTCCTGTTTGGCGTGGTTGAAGTCCCTTTGAACCGTTCCTACGTGTCCCTGCGGACATCTCTTTCAGACTCATTACTACCAGCCGCTGTGGACCCTGGTTGGCGGTGGTGCAAAGCAGCTGGCAGCTTCTGCGCGTCCAACCGGAAGCGTAATGCCTGCAGGCGTCGAGTGGATCAAATCTCGAGTTACAGCGTTGGATCCCGACAAGAACTGCGTCTGGCACTAGAATGATACCAAGGTAATAAAGTTAAAATTAAACCAAAAAAAGTTGTTATTAGTCTCTTGCTCTGTGTCATGAGTTGTCTGTCCGCCTCCTGCAGATCCCCTTGGAACTACCTGTTGAGCAAGACCGTCCTCCACCTTCTGGGAATCCAGGAAATTCCACTTAGTCTTACTTAAATTTGAACTTAAATTTGCTTTGAGGGTAATGTTCTTTGACTAAAATATTTTTTTTTTTTTTTTTTTTCCCCCTCCCCTTCCACAACAGGTATCGTACAAGTATCTGATAATTGCCCTTGGGATCAGTCTGCATTACGAAAAGGTATTTGTTTTATGGTAATCATGTTTTGACCAGTTTTAGTGACAGCACGTACCCTTATGATTCACTGAAGTAAATGGCTTTTCAGGGCACTTTCCTTACTGCAGGATACTGAAAGCTAATACGAATTAAAGCGCCAGAAGACAGCCTAATGGCTTCACTCCTTCCGCAGATCTCTCTGTAATTACCCAAATTACCCCTGGGGAGGTTTTTAAGACAGCTTTGTTGCATCTCTGTGGCGACATCAGCAGATGGAGCAGCAAGTTAGATGTAGAACTTGAAGGCAGTCTGTAGGAATGAGATAACGGGGTATGGTGGCTGTAGTCTGAAGCATCTCTAATGTAAACAGCAGCGAGGAACACACAGCAGTCAGTAAAATCTGCATTAATTTGACCCGCTCTCGCCTTTCTCAAAGGGTGCACTTCAGAAGGGACCAGCAGAGTCACCACGCTGGTGTTCACATAGGCCCTTCTGCCTGCAGGAAGGCTGGTACAGTGGCCCACAGAGGAAGGTTAATGCCATCGTACGGCACAAGAACGACTGTAGTGATACGTAGGAGGGAAGAAAACACAAAGGCAAGCTGTTTGAGCATTTAACTACAGTGGTTTTAACCCAGCCGGCATATGATGCAGTACCTGATACTGTATGTGTATCTCTTCGAAGAGCTCCCAGGACATAAGTAAAGCGAGAGCTGGTCTTCGTTCAGTATGGTCATGCCGGGTAAATCCTGGCGATGAGGTCAGTGGAATGAGGAATTGCATTTTCAGCAACCCTCTCAGTCCCCTGGTGTCTCTTCAGTGCACCCCGAGAAAACCAAATTCAGTGTTCAGTAGTAGAAGCCATGTACTACAGGTAATGACGCTGCAGTGAATACAGTTCATAGTAACAGATTTATATGGCTTTAAAACGCAAGTGGGCAGCTCAAAAAGAGGGATGGGCTTTCCCAGAGCAGACTTCCTGGTGTAGACTGTAACTGCAGCGGATGTAACAACTCCCGTTTTCTCACAGAATTTCTGCACCCCGTCATTTTGAAATAGGGACAACTCCCTTTCTTGCAGGCTGATGCTCGGGCGTGGTAGGGAAGTAATTACTGAGGCCACTCGAGTTAAAACAAAGCAACCCAGGAGATGCAGGTGTCTGCAGTGCACTGCTGAGACGTCTCATTCCCTTTAGAAATTTTCGTGATGCCTTTTTCTTTTTCACATGGCTGTTACTTGCGACGGCGTGGCAGTGGCTGCAGATGTTCTCACCCTGAATTTCACCCACCAGTCTACAAAAACTTGGGTCTGCACTGATGCTTAACGCTACATGTCATAGAATCATAGAATCACAGACTGGTTTGGGTTGGAAGTGACCTTAAAAGATCATCTGGTCCCAACCCCTCTGCCAAGGGACACCTTCCACTAGACCAGGTTGCTCACAGCCTCATCCAGCCTGGCCTTGGACGCTTCCAGGGATGGGGCATCCACAGCTTCTCTGGGCAACCTGTCCCAGTGCCTCCCCACCCTCTCCAGGAAGAACTTCTTCCTGATATCTAATCTAAACCTCCCCACTTTCAATTTAAACCCGTTACCCCTTGTCCTGTCACTACAGGCCCTTGTAAAAAGTCCTCTCCCAGCTTCCTTGTAGCCCCTTCAGGCACTGGAAGGTGCTATAAGGTCTCCCCGGAGCCTTCTCTTCTCCAGGCTGAACAAGCCCAACTCTCTCAGCCTGTCCCCATAGCAGAGGGGCTCCAGCCCTCGGAGCATCTCCGTGGCCTCCTCTGGACTTGCTCCAACTGGTTACATATGTTGGAGCGAGTTGCAGCTACATATGTTGCAGAGCAGAGTAATTTCAGCAAATCTTAAATCGTCTACTAAATTCTAACGGAAATACCTGCTTGATTGCTAGGCTTATTTTCAAAAATGCCAACTAGCAAATATGCATGAGCTGTCTTTTTGCTAGAGCCTTCTTAAATAGCTGTTTCTCAAGTCTGTGTTTTAATACTTGATGATGGTGACAAAGGTTTTGCCGTCTGTACATTAAACCTTAATTTTATTTTCTTAGATCAAAGGCTTGCCTGAGGGTTTTCATCACCCCAAAATAGGTTCCAATTATTCAGTTCATACAGTAGAGAAAACGTGGAAAGCTTTGCAGGATTTCAAGGAGGGAAATGCTATCTTCACTTTTCCAAATACTCCAGTGAAGTGTGCAGGGGCTCCTCAGAAGATCATGTATTTATCAGAGGCCTACTGGAGGAAAGTAAGTATTTCACGCTCTCTGCCGGTGCTTGTTCCCACAGCTGGAAGGAAGGCTTGCTCTAAGGAGTGCGTATTATCTTTGAAACAAAAGAAAACCCCCCACGAGAGGAATATGACTTGGTATTATTCAGGTGTCTGCGTTGCTTTTTCTATTATTAATGTATAATATACAAAACTAACTGGATTGTACATAAATATTTAGCATGTATTTAATGCTGGAGAAACTTGTCGAGTTCAGAATCCGTAAGGAAAGAACGGCTTACCCTGCTTCTGGTGAGCTACATACAACTGTTCTCGGCCTAGTTGGCGCGCTACAATAACGCTGGCTGGAATTCAGTAATTCCTGTTACTTTAGGCACGTAATACCTGTTGCCATTTGCCTTTGGGCTAGTCTGAGAAGTGGCTATGCTGGCTGCTCGTGGCACGCTGTCAGCCCTTAGCCGGGCTGTTAAAGCAAGCTGAGTGGAACCAAAAGACAGCTTCAGGTGGAAGTGTCAGGCTTCATTCGTGTTCAGGTTTCATGGGCTGTCTACTGGGCGAGTACCTGAACCATGCCTAGAACTGGAGGTTTCGGAAAGCTGCACGATGCTGAGCTGCTGCCAATGCTTGGCCTGCAGGCAGCAGTGAAATGCGGCCACTGCTTCTCGCTAGTGGTTTGGAGAGGGGTGTCTTCACTACCTCGCTCAGAAAGGGCAAAGGTTATCTGGTCCAGCTTCTGACATGGTGTGAAATAGCTGCTCTCTCAAGACTTCTAATGTTGATGCTTCAGAATTGAACTGCATACAGTTCTGTCAGCTTTTCAGTAGCACAGCCGGTTCTTTATGCCTCTGCTAGCCTGCCAGTTTTGCAGAAAAAGCTAATTTGATCTCTGTGCAGACAGGCAAACGTTCCAAAGCGAACATAATGTTCAACACTTCACTTGGCGTCATTTTTGGTGTGAAGAAGTATGCTGATGCCTTGCTTGAAATAATAAAGGAGAGGAATATCGCTGTTAACTACAAGCGCAACCTGGTAGAAGTGCGAGCAGACAAGCAGGAAGCTGTCTTTGAAAACTTGGATAAACCCGGAGTGACTGAAGTTCACCAGGTCAGGAGCTTTCAAACCTCTGCTCTGATTGATTCTTTTCCCTGTGTACCCTAAGATACCTGCCACGCCACAATAAGGTGATGTCTGCTTCGTCATACGCTGCCGTTTCCTCCTGAGAGCACTGTCTCTGACTTCAGCAGATTTTGAAGTTTGAAACTGAGGTGGAGAGAGGATAAAAGCATTTCGTAAAGAGTGCCTGGCGTCCTGTATGCCTTGTTAGTGTAACGTGGGAATGTCTCAGATGCAGAGGGAGGAGGCAAATTGCCGTTACGCCAGTCTAAATGGAGTTGCCTGATAGGGTTCATGTTAATAGAAGGATGCATTTCAAATTTGAGAGCAAATTTTCATTCTACATGCTTCTGCTTTCTAAAAAACGCCCCAAGCAAACAAACGGACCAAGACAGGCCCTCTCCCCCCTGAACATGTTGCCTTGTATCAGCACAAATGGGATTTGCTCTGATAAACCAGCCACTGAGTGCCTTTTCTTGCTCTTCAGTATGAAATGCTTCACGTCACCCCCCCGATGGGGCCACCCGATGTGCTCATCAACAGTCCTGTCTCGGATGGAGTTGGCTGGGTGGATGTAGACAAAGAAACCCTACAACACAAGAAGTACCCTAACGTGTTTGGCATTGGAGACTGCACCAACCTTCCAACATCAAAAACTGCTGCAGCTGTAGGTAAAGTTGTGTGTTCGTGTGTGTAATGACAGGTGTGGGGGTGACAGTGAGCTGGTTTAGGGTGTTACTCCTGAGCTCTTGACTTCAGCTGTTTCCAGCTTCCACGAAGACCTGAGTCTTCTGGGCCAACTGCTGAGCTACAGGCTGTGCTGGTGCCATTAAGCCACAGTTCTCGTTCCACGTGCCTGACAGATGAACTCATTCTGTTTTCTGTGTTCAGGGAGTGGCATAGAATGAGTGTTGGGCTCTTGCATTCTGTCACCACTCGGTAACAAAACTTGCTGCTCTATCTCAGCAGCTCATGTGTACGTGTCAGCAAACTGATAAGTCACTACCGGAGAGTCACATGTTCTGTGCTTGTAGCCAGAGGGACCAGTAGAAAAGGTCTTTAGGCATATGGGCTCACAACTGAAAAACAAAAGGGGAAGTAAGAAAGGCTGTACTGCACGTTATTGGCCTAACTGGGAAGAACCAACTGGGAAGAGCAGTCAGCTATTCCAGCAAGTGGGTGTAGAATGCTTTCTACGTGAAAGGAAACACAACTTCAGCGCGCCAGAGCCTTAGGGAAGGCCGACTAAGTGTAATTTCAAGTAGGAGAATGAACACGAGTCTGAAAACACACAGCTCAAGTCTCCTGAAGCTTTAGCTTGTTGGAATTAGTGAGGCCAAAGCATTATTCCACTTTTTTTTTTTTTTTTTTTTTTTTTTTTGTATCTGGGACTAAACTTCCCAAACTGCTTTGACGTGTAAATTCAACTGCAGCTGGATTATCCAACAGCATGCCTGGCTGCTAGTGCTTGCTCCAGTGATGGCAGTAATTGCTGCCCACAACAAAGCCTTAATACACTCTTCCTTTCTTGCCTAGCTGCCCAGTCTGGAGTGCTTGACAAAACTATCTCCCTGGTAATGAAGAACCAGTTGCCAACTAAAAAGGTACCTACAGGTCTGCTCTGGGGGAGAAGTTATTTTGAATGTTTTCTCCATTCTCGTGCAGGAAGTCTTGCAAGCCGTGTGAGGCGGAAGGGCTTTGCATCAGCAGTTGGGGTGATACATGGCTAAATACTCTGTGTCCTAACAGCAGTTTAGTTGCATAATTCATACGCTTGATGCTACCGCTAAAAATACCCGTTTAATTCCCTGACTTCTGGGTTGAAAGAAACGGAAAGGCTGATTAGTCTGAGTATCATCCTCCATACTCTTGTGATCCTCTGGAAATTCTTGCAACTAGATTCAAGATCCCATTTTTATACTCTTTGCTATACTCGGCGCCAGCTCTCGTCCCGATCTACTGGTCACCTCTTCTGCTGGTAGGAACACCAACCAGCAACTAATGACACAAAACCCTCACCATCTAGGTTAGTTCCAACTTAAGCTATGTTGTTAACCAAATCTACAACCTCCTAGTAACTTCCTTTGAAACATGAATGTTAACCACAGGGTTTGTAACACCTCGGCCTTTGGACTGCTCAGGTGAATGACAAGGGGCTGTTCTTCGTTGCAGTATGACGGATATACTTCCTGCCCGCTAGTAACGGGCTACAACAAGGTCATTCTCGCAGAATTTGACTACGATGCGCAGCCTCTGGAGACCTTTCCCATCGACCAGAGTAAGGAGAGAGTAACCATGTACCTTATGAAAGCGGATATGATGCCTTTTCTCTATTGGAACGCACTACTTAAGTAAGTATTGCGGTTCTGAGCGGGCAGAGCTGCTTGGGTTGCTCAGAAAGAATCCTGGAACACAGACCTGTTCCTTAGCTCCTTGTTTGCTTCTGTTGTAGCAAAGTGCATCCTTAGTCATGACTAAGACTTCCACTTTTGAGGATTCTGAGCACTTTGCTAGTGAACAGGGGCTTGTTTGAGCAGAACAAGGTTGAACTGCACCCAGGGGCAGCCCCATTGAAAACCTCACGGAAACAGAGGATTCCCCAAACCAAACCCCTAACACGCAGCTCTCGGCAGGCACAGTATCTTAGGGGAATAAAACACTGCCCCCAAACCCTGCTTTGACGGTACACACATAAAACATCATGAGAGGATTTTCTCTATTTCTAGGGGCTACTGGGGAGGACCAGCTCCCGTCAGGAAGCTAATGCATCTGGGCCTGAAGTAAGTCCTGGTTCTCAGTGCTGGTCACACCCTCGTGAAGAGAAAGGATTGGCCTCTCCCTGGATCAATACAAATCTTCCCTCAGGGACCACCCATGGACTGATTTTTTTTTTTTTTTAAAAATCAAGCTTTTGTTCTAAATTCACTTTCACCCTACTGGGGATCAAGCTTCCTGCTTTCACTGCTCTCCTCTAAACCAAGGCCTTAAACTACTTCTGTACGTGCACAGGGGTCTGAACTTGCCCTAAGCTACAGAACACTACTGAAATCTTCTGCTCCAGTCAGTAACTTTAAAGCTGCTTGTGTGCAAAGCTTTCTCCTCGACTCTAAACTGAAGCGTCTGCATCTGAGATCAATGTGTGCACTGAATGCAACAGAATAACTGAATGCTAGTAAAATGGCCTGAAAAACCTACTCTTATTCTCTCGTATTTGAAGGGCAGAATAAATCTTAGCTCCCTCAGGAAGCATCCTTGCAGCTTAATGCAGTAAACTACTGAAACCATGCTCGCCTCGGCGAGCAGCGCCACTTCGCATCAGTCCCACTGTGTTTACTCCGAGAGGTTAAGAACACAGCGAGAAGAAATGCCCAGAGACTGGAGCCTGGGAGAAGACCAAGATCCTGGGTGAGGCCACAGAACTGGGCTGAAGCACAAACGAGTAGGACAGACAAGGGGGAAGTGCTTTTAATTATGACCATAGAGAACGCAGTTTCAAGGGGAGGTTTAAATTTGACTTTGTTCAGTCGAGAGTCTTCACAGAAGCTGGAACTTTAGTGGCAGTCAGGTAGACAGCGCGGAGCAAACGGGAATCTTCTTCAAGCACAAGAGTCGGCAGCAGCTTATTTCTGAACAGAGAGACATACACGGACATATTTCAGGTTACAGCTTCATGCTTTTTTCTGCACAGCGGCCTGTAAGAGGATTGCCTCTGAGGCGCAGTTAGAAGCATGAACACGTACCTGCACGTTAAGTAATTCTTCGATCTTATTCTGGATCTGTCCGTACACGTCATTAAACAGCTCCTCCTTTGATTTTGTTCCGTTCAAGTGCACTTGAAGGAAGTGAAATTAGAGAGCTGTAACGGAATGTTTCTGCAAGCCTGCCCCATGCTCATTTAAAGCACACGCGCTTGGCTAGTACCAGAGAAACACTCCATCCACCTGCCTCAGCTCCTCTCGGGCACCTAACCGGTGTGTGCCCCCACGTCTGGAAGGCGCTCGTACAAAGCCGCCTTTCACAAGTGGCTTTTGGCACTAACGACTTACCCACATCAACTCCAAGATCTTCCATTAGTTTCCTGTGCTTTACGTACATGGGCCAAACGTGGCCATCAAACAATCCGGGTGGATCAGGTACAGTGTAATTCCTCGAGCTACAAAATAAGACGTTGTTATTCATGTATTTAGCATAAGCTGCAAGCATAAAGATACCCCCAATAAAGTTGGAATTTGATGTGCAGGTCTAAAGTGCAACAAGGAGTCCTAACACAGACCGATTTTAGCATTGATGAAGAAGCTCTTAAAGCTTGAGCTGTTTTACTCAAGCCCTGCTATTTTATTCCTCTGAAACATAATGGAGTTTACTACGTTTCATCTGCATTAAGAACAGTGTATGTGTACAATACAGCCAACTGTAAGACTCCAGGATAGTCTGAGACCTAGGAACCATCTCACTGGAAAACCAGAGAGGCAGAAAGCCTATTGCAGGATCTGCGCACAAACTGAGCGTTAGCCTTGGGTACTCAGGAGCTTGGTAGGAAGCTTCTGGGTTAGTTTGGTGAAGGAAGCAATAGCCTCCTAACACAGCTGCTACACTGGTGTTTATCCCTTCTTCTCTGAAAGCTCTAGGAAAACAAGGTCTTGAACGGAGTGAGATGTTACTGGGCTAGCAAGGGAACTTAGGAAGATGAACTTACCTTCTTCTCCTTTTACACTCTTCATACGGGATGGAAAGAAAGTACCGATGGTGGAATACGTCAATCAGTGGCCTGAAAGAGATACGTGCTTGGTTACAGCTAGACTGATTAGTGGCAAGAACTGGAAAGGTAAAACTACCCCCATTTCCTGTACCTAGAGCTACCTTCAAACTGGTGACACCTGAACTAGGCAGTGGTCACTACCAGCTGCTGACTCATGGTTTAGAACAGTCTCTTTTTATTCCCTTGGGAGCTTTGCTGTCACGTAAAATCAAAATACGTGAGGGCACATTTGATTACCTGTAGGTGTAAAGTAGGAAGCCTTCAACAATAAGAATGTGGATTGTTTCATCTCCTCCCTCCTGATCTGGCAAGATCTTGGCATCCAGGGTGTTGTTGATCCCATGAGAACGTTCAAACTTGACTGGGTTTTTTATCCAAGCGTTTATGGTACTCATCATGGCTTCCATATCCAGCGCACTAATCACTAAGGCAAAACAGACGACTGTCATTACGCAGTGTTAAGTACCACCCAGAGGGTCAGGACAAAACCAGCGCGCATCAAAGTAAGCAAAAGGTTTTTTACGCTTTGGTAGCGGAGCCTCACTTACCATCATACTGTTTAAACCCATCTTCAACTTCTATTTCATCCTGTGGCTGAAACAGGGATAAGAAAAAAATAAAAACCTGCTTGGTCAGGACAGCTCGTGGGAAGCTTGATACCCAGTCAAAGCAAGACTCACGATCCGAACCCTGGAGCTACCAGGAGGAATCTTAACCCTCCCCCGGGCTTCTCGGCATGCAGACAGAACGCAGCAGTAAGGAGGCCGAGATAAAGCCGCCTGCTCCTCTATCGTCCCACCAGCACGCCGTGCAGCGCTCCAGGCGAAAGGGGAGTCACCGGGGCGCCTTACAGCGCCGGCTTATCCGCAGCCGCGGAGCCACCCCGGCCGAGTGCCGCAGCGGCACAGGGGGCCTGCGGGAGCGGAGTGGGCGGAACCACCATCCAGATTAACTAGAGGTCCTCCAGAATTGCCGTAATTGATAATAGCATCTGTCTGAATGTAATCCATATCCGAGTCCCACAGGCCAAGTTCTTTACCATCTCGCTGAGTGGTGCTGACAATACCTGTTGTCACCGTGTTCTGTGAGGCAAATGGACTTCCAATTGCCACCACAAATTCTCCTGGCCTCAGATCAGCAGTGTCCCAGTAACAATACTGGTCGTTTTTTCTTAGGGTGAATGTTTATTGTTGCAATGTCAGATTTCTTATCACTACCTTTGATGGTTGCCTCACAGGAAATCTCCATTCTGTAGCTGCACTTTCAACTGCTGTCTGCCTGGTACAGCATTCGTGCTTGACACCACGTGGGCACTGGTCACAATTAAACCAGAATCGGACATACTAAAGCCAGATCCACTGGAAAGCGGAGCATTTCGACTAAAGAGAGGGTGCCTGAGGAACCACGCGGGGGGCCCCCTCGCCTTGCCGCGGCCGGGCCTCACCTTGAAGAAGTCGTCCTGGTGCACCACGCTGCAGTTGGGCAGGGCCTGCATTAGCCTGCGGGTGAGGGTGGTCTTGCCTCCGTTGGTGACCCTGCGGCGGGAGCGCGCAGCCCTCAGGAAACGCCGCGGGACACGTGTGCGCGCCGCGCCGCCTCC